TACCCCCAGACATAGGTCCCAATCTGAAAACATCCCTCTCGACGATGACTAATGCAGACCTCTTTATGAAGAAGGGGGGCGGTGGAATAGTTGTGACGTGCTAGGTAGGAGGGTAGCCTGGGGAGGGAGGGGAGATAGACAGGAAGGCAGCCTTTCCTCTTCAAGACCTCAGCTTCCTTTTCTGTGATGAAAGAGCTTCATCAGAACCATCCTCAGCGTGCACTTGAGTCAGGGAAGCTTCTTTTATAAACACATCTTCAATTCTATATAATCCTATATAATAAAAGGGTAATATGCAAATCAACCAAACAGCAGAACAACCAGTTGCTATGACACACACTGACCACCAGGGGGCAGATGCTCAATGCAGGAGCTGCCCCCCGCTGGTCAGTGCACTCCCACAGGGGGAGCGCCACTCAACCAGAAGCCGGGCAAGCGCAGCGGCAGTGGCAGGAGCCTCTCCCACCTCTGAGGCAGCACTAAGGAGCAGCAAGCCAAGTAGTAAGGAGCAGCAAGCAGGCGGGCGGTAAGGAGCAAGGGCTCCTGGACTATGAGAGTGATGTCTGACTCCTGGCTTAGGCAGTCAGACATCCCTCTCGCAGGAAGTGGGCCTAAGCCAGCAGGCGGACATCCCCCAAGCGGTCCTGGACTACGAGAGGGCGCAGGCTGGGCTGAGGGACTCCCGCCCACCCCACCCCCTGCTCAAGTGCATGAATTTTTGTGCACCGGGCCTCTAGTTATATAAAAGGCTAACATGCAAAGTGTCCCCTTGGGAATTCGATCGCTCACTCACTATGACATGCACTGACCACTGGGGACAGCACGGAACACTGTGGGAGACCAGCAGTGGGTGGTGGTGGTGGGGCGCTGAGGGAGCAAGGGAAGGAGGGAGGCGGGGAACCTGATCAGCCCTGATCGCTGGCCAGGCCTAGGGACCCTACCAATGCATGAATCTTGTGCACCAGGCCTCTAGTCATGACATAAACAGATGGGGAGAGGGAAGGCATGTACTTTGAGGGGGAGACTTATGTCCCTGAAAATATGGCAGACAGACGCTCTGAGAACTTTTTTGGAACAAACCTGGACAGAGTTTATTTTTAAGCTATAAATAGATAGCTGAGCTAGCAAGAAAATAAGGGATTCCTGGGGCAAAAACAACCAGAATGCATAAATCCAGGAGGTTAACAGGGCAGCTACCTGTCAGTTACACCAAGGACATTTATTAATCCCTCCTAGCCTAATTTCTGAGCTCTGAGTTTTCACAGGGTGGGAACTTTGATCAAGACCCAGAAAGAAAGCCCAGAACCCAAAAGGTGCCCCCCTCAGCAAAAGGGAGAACTTGACAAAGACCCTGCCTGGGAGGAGGGTCCCTCTGAGACTGCACGTGCCTAGGTTTGCAGGGAGAGGTGAGGAGTTGGCACAGGGCAGGGTCTTCTTGGAGAATCATGTCCACAAGCTGTTGGTCCAAAAAGGCTGGAACAATTCACGACCTGTGTGACTGGGAGAAACACAAGCCAGGAATTTTAGGCAACCCTAGTTGTCAGTGGCCTCAGGTACCCGACAGAAGCCAGCACAGATTCTCGAAGAACACATTGAACCCTTGGCCTCAAGCCTCCCAATAAAGCTCTAAGACTCACGAGGCCACAATCCATGAACAGTTGGAGAAACGGCACTGTGATTAGAATCAGTAGAAACTAGAAACCAGTCAGACTTGGGAAGACTGATTATCAGATGCACAAGAGAGAAGTATGTTTGAAGAACCACAACAAGGAATCAAAAGGGGACCGAGGATCAAGAGACTTCAGAAGTGACCAAGCAGATTGGAACAACCCAAACAGCTGTTGGGAAACATTTCGATTCCTGTAGCTTTCACACTTCATGCTTTCGCCCTGTTTCTGCAGCTTTTATCCTTTGCCTCTTGCTCCTTGGCCAGTGCCTGTCCTGCAGCCCCTTTTCCCTGCGCCCTCGGGCGAAGCTGCCCTTCCCCCTCCCTCCGCCGGCAGGACTGCTTGCCTCTGGCAACACTTTCTGTCCTTCCTTTCCTCCTTCTCTGCTGACGTTCAGCCTTTCCCCCAGTCCCATGACCACTGCACACCCACAGCAATCCCTTTGCTTTTTGTTCCAAGTCTTGCTCTGATTCCTTTTCCCTCTCAACCTTGGGATCAAAATTCAGGCTAGTACAGTGAGTTACCACTAGTAATTATGGTAGCTATGGGGTCTCAGCCATCCCGTTTTATCCCTACACTAAGGGAGGTAGGGGAATTTGTTGGCAGCTTATGCAATTCTACTTTGACCAAAAGAACCATTTTTTATTTACCTTCACAAGGTTCAAATCTGCCAGCTAATCAGATGGTTTCAAAGCAATGCAGTCTGGCGTTTCCTACCACGTCTTTAATGCTGGTGTCCACTGTATTTTAATAAGCAGTATTGAGCCCAGCTGGTGTGGCTCAGTGGTTGATCTATGAACCAGGAGGTCATGGTTTGATTCCGGTCAGAGCACATTCCCAAGTTGTAGGCTCGATCCCCAGTAGGAGGCGTGCAGGAGGCAGCTAATCAATGATTCTCATCATTGATGTTTCTATCTATCCTCCCTCTCTGACATCAATAAAAATTTTAAAAAGTAATAAGCAGGTATCGAGTGCCCAGTGTCTCACGGCCACTGCTCCAGGGGCTTGAAAGTTGCAGGTCCACATGAGAGCAGTGGGAAGCATTTAAAAGCAAATTCTGTAAATAAAAGCAATCTTCCTGCACATTTACTGAGCCATGGAAGTGATCAGACTCACTAGGTTCAGAAAAGAAAAATTAATCCCAAATCCTGTTCTCGGTGGCAAATTTGTCAAGAGGGGAAATAATTACCTCATTGGAGTCTCACCTACTTGGTTCTCTTGAACTCGAGCTGTTTCAGCCTTGGGTTAGCAGGATATTGCGAGAGCCGGCCAACTTCCTAGAATGATCAGCTCTCGCAATATTTGAACACGCACAGACTCACTTGCCTTAAGAAGTAAATACGAGTGGATTACAGCAAAATGTGTAAGGCCTTTCATTCTGAAAAATGCCAGGGACCAAATATCCGGTTGAGACGTCAAGCCCCTCTCGTTCACAAACTACTGCATCGTTTCTGTGCAGGGGTTAGTTTAATTTCAGGGCCAAATCCTATTATTTTGTGTCTTGGTTTTGCTTTTTGGTCAAGTTGGTTTTTCCTAAGAAAAGGCATGCAAATTAGAGCATTCTGATCTGTATGGTGAACTTGGGTCAGCTCTTCAGTTTGGGGAAGAGCTAGTATCAGGCATTTGCAAAGGTGATGGGGACCATGAGAACTTGCATGGGTTGAAGTGGGCCTTTTTCCCGGGAGCCTTGGGTTCAGATTTTATCTGTCACTTTACCGTGTGGTCTTGAGCACATTTGTCTATCCTTTTATACTTTTTCCAAATATATACAAAAGTTCTATAATACACTAGAAGCAGTGGTTGCCAGGGGCTCGGGGAGAGGAGAATGAGGAGTGACTGCTAAGGGGTATGGGGTTTCTTTTGGGGGTGATGTTCTGAAATTGGATAGTGGTGATGGTTGCACAACTCTGTGAATATACTAAAAAAAAATACTGAATTTTCAGTACTGTCTTAAAGGGTGAATTTGTGGTATGTGAATTATATCTTAATAAAGCAGTTATTTTAATTGAATGTCAACAGTATAGAACAATGAATCCCCACATACCCATCACTCAGACTCCCCAATTTTCAGCTCATTGCCAATCTTGTTTTACCTATACCTCTATTCACTTCTCCTTTCTTGAATTATTTTGAAGCCAATTTCAGAAATACTTTCTCTGTAAGTATTTCAGTATCTATCTCAGAGATAAGCCTTTTTTAAGCACAATTTCTAGCATCATTACACCTTAAAATAGTAACATCAGTTACCTAATATCACATATCTAGTACCAGTGTTCAAATTTCCTTATCAATGATTTGTTTTGAATTAGAATCCAAATAAGGCCCATAGATTGCGAGTTGATATGTCTTTTAAGTCTCTTAATCTTCAGATTCCACCTCTGTCTTTTTTCCTCCTTTGCAGTTTATTTATTGAAGAAACCAGTTTGTTTTTTTTGGCCAAATCTCTATCTCTCGCTCTCTCCCCAAGTGTGAGGGATGTGTGACTTTTGTTTTAGAAAATAGTGAGTTGTAGATAAGGGACATTTGGACTGAGCCCTTCCATTCTGGAATTTTCCCCCATATATGCAGGGAAGCATCAAGTGTAGGGTTCATGGATTCCCACCAGAAACCTGAACCTCCACTGGCTGGAGGGCTCAGCTGCATCTTCCCCCTCAACGCTGCCTGTGCCCCCCTCCCCCACCCCCACCCCAGCCCCTGACAGAGCTAGAAGAAGCAGGAACGAAGAAGACCACCAACATTTAATCCAAAACATCAGCTGTTTCGGGTGCCCTTTGCCCTGCAAGTGTCACCAGCCACGCACATTGCAGTATGATATTCTGCTATTCTAACGCTCTTATCTGTAAGACTAGTAGGATCAAAGAACTTCCGCTAGTCCCCACTGTCATAACCTCAGCCTTTATGACTCACTGCTCTTTCAGATGAGTCTGCTTGTTTTCCTTAAATGGAACTTGCTAATTCCATCATTTTCCCTAGTTTGCATGTCAATGGTGTCCCAACCAGGCACAAGCTCTGCCTCAACCGACCTGCCCTGAACCGACCTGCCCGCCTGGCTTCTCACCTTGCCTTCCTCCTGCAGCCTTTCCCATCTCTGCCCTCTCCACCCACCTCCGCTTCAGCCTGCCCATCTCCCTTCATTCTGTAGGGTCACTGTTCCTTCCTTGTTGTCAGCTCCCGTCAGCAACACATCAGTTACTTGGTCCAGGAAGTGAACTTTCAACAACGATAACAATTTAAAATATGGATTGTCTCCGCCAGAAGTCGGTCCGCTATTTTCGTGGCAGCTCCTTCCGGGTGCTCAGACTTGTGGGGACTGCATACTGGGCAAGCAGCCCACAAGCCAGTGAGTATCATCACCGGAAGGGAGCAGAGAGGCGGCTCGTTGGAGGTGGAAGGGTGGGTTGGTGGGACTTAACAGACAATATAATTCTATTGCTATGGGCTCAGCATAGCCAGGTGCAGTCAGCACCCAGGAAAGGTGACCATCAAGTGTTGGGTGCAAAGACCAGGAGGTGGGCATGGGGTCAGGGCAGGGAGAAGCGTGGTCCCGAGTGGGGAGAGCCGCGGGGACAAGGTCCTTTAGGGCCGTCCCCGGACTTGTTTTCTCCTGGCCGTCACAGGACAGTGTTAGGGGCAGGGAGGGGGAACACGGACCGCTCTCAGAAGGTTGGGCCCGTGTCCTCTAATCCGAGAAAAGAGCTTGGTCTGCTTGGTGTGGGCTGATCCACAGTGTTCGAGGGATGAGCATGCTATGCGCTCACACTCTGAGCTTTTCAAAGTAGGAACTTCCACCTACAAAGCAGAAGAGTGTTGGTGGGTTTTTTCTTTTGTGGTTTCACACAGCGAATGTATGACAATCTCTATTTATAAGCGAAGTGAGCCGTTCAGGCACTGAGGACTGAGTGTGGCCAGGATTTCTGGTCCCCCCTCCTTCACCCTTTCATCTTTCTCTTCGCCTGCTTTCCAGAAAGGGGGCTGCTGGGAGAGTCTGCTTGACAATTTCCCGTGCTGTCAGCTCCACAGAATTCCATTTCTGAGAACCTGCTCGGAGCATGCAGTGACATTGCGTAACCCGCCTCCGGAGCGGGCAGTATTAGCCGTGGCGCTCAGAGCGACTGTTTCACCCAACATGAGAGGAGCGAGCGGCATGGATGGGGCGCCCAAGGTGAGTGATGGGGGCCTTCTGAACGGGCAGGGGGCAAACAACCGGCAGCGACCAGTTTTTGTTCTGAGTTTAATGTGTACCAGTAACATGTAAGTTTGAGATGGGAAGGTTTCATGTCAGTTTAAGTGTAGAAAGTATTTCAAGCTCCTTACCAGTTTGACTCGGATGAAAATTACGTACTTTCTAGCAGAAACCAGCTTCTGGGGTTGGTAACACAGTCTATCCCTTTGTGTCCGTTCACCTTCTAACAAACTTCTTGAGCGAGTGAGACCTCAGCTCACCCCGACCTCTCCTTTCTCGGGACCCTGAGCACACTCAGTGTCACTCCCAAGTGTCCTGAGGATCCTGCGCTCCTGCCCCACACCTGGGCAGTCACCGTGGGTGCTCCCCCTGCTACCTTCACGTTAACTTTGGTATTGATCTGTGTGAGCGGAGCTCCAGGCTGGGACTTGAATCAAAAAAGAGTCACTAGGGAGTAGAAATGACTACAAAAAAAATAAACTTGCTCAGATACAAGGAAAGTGAAGCTCAAGGGTTACTTTGCTACACCTTTAAAAAATATAAGTAGAACAAGAAAATAAGGAAATGGAACATTAAGTGGGGAGTCTTCTTATATGAATTAAGTATATATTACTTATTATTCTAATAACTAGGTGTCATTAGTGGAATGTATAGTTGAGTAACGCATGACATCCTCTTTTATGTAGGTCATGTGTAAATATCTTAGCTAGAATATTGTACACAACTATTTTCTTTGAAAAATTTTTAAGCCCTAACCAGTTTGGCTCAGTGGATAGAGCGTCGGCCTGCGGACTGAAAGGTCCTAGGTTTGATTCCAGACAAGGGCATGTACCTTGGTTGCGGGCACATCCTCAGTGGGAGGTGTGCAGGAGGCAGCTGATTGATGTTTCTCTCTCATCGATGTTTCTAACTCTCTATCCCTCTCCCTTCCTCTCTGTAAAATATCAATAAACTATATGAGAAAAAGAAAATATTTTAACCATGGGGAAAATAATAATTTATATTATTATTATTTATATTATTAATAATTTATATTATTATTATAATCTCATATCCTTGACTGAGATTCACCAATTCCAGCATTTATTTTATATAGATGTTTAGATACTGGCACACAGTTATTGTCAACCATTTGAAAACAAGTTGGCTGCTGGCTGGGGCCTTCCTTCATTCCATGCCACCCCCTGATGGTCAGTGCACATCATAGCAAGCGAGTGATTGAACTTCCGGTTGGTCGAACTCCCAAGGGGACACTTTGCATGTTAGGCTTTTATATGTATAGATGTTTAGATACTGGCACACAGTTATTGTCAACCATTTGAAAACAAGTTGCACCTATAATGACACTTCCCCACATCTGCTTAAAACAAGGACAGTCTCCTACACAACTCCAATATCAGTGTCACATCCAAGACAAATTACCATCGAATTAATAATGCCATCCTAACATTCAGCCCACATTCACATTTTCCAAAAAATACCCTTTCTGGCTTTTTTGACTGTTATTTGTTTGTGTGTGTGTTTTTCCAAGACCACATGCTGTGTTGTTTTCAGCTCTCTGTCATCCTTAATCAAGAATAACCCACTGCTTTTTATTTTTTACATAACATCAATTTTTTTTACTATCCCAGATGTTTTATGATTTAGATTTCTTATGTGCCACCTATTCTGCCTAGCTAATCTCTATAACACTTAGTAATTTGTAATTAACATGCATGTGTGCATATAACTTATATTTGATGCTCCCAGCACCGCCATAAAGCCCTATTATGAATATTATAGAGATAATAATAACTGTCACTTTCTGGCTGTCCATCCACCAGGCCTGCTGCATGTTCCATTACATCCTCGCATCTTCAGGAAGCAGAGGTGTTATTCTTAACCCCATTTTACAGATGAGGAAAGTAGGGTTCATTGACTTGCCAAGGCCACACGCTAGTGAGTGGAATGCCAGGCGTCAGACCCAGGCAGACTGAACCCAGAACTCGGCTCTTAACCAGCTCACTCTCTCCCGACCCTCAGACCAGCAGCTGGCAAACTTTTCCTAATGACCCAGATGGTATTTTATGCTTTGTGGGCCACCTACAATCTCTGTTGCATTTTCTTCTTTGTTTTCACAACAAACACTTTAAAAATATAAACTCATTCTTCACTCTCAGATCAGTCTTCCAGATTTGATTGACAGGTCATAGTGGCCAACCCATGTCTTTCTTAGATGCATAACGTCTCAGCTCATGCCGGCTACTCCACCCAATGGTGGAGTCTTGATCCTAGTCCAGGGACACACTCAGGGAACAGTTTCCTGGGTGCACCTATACAACTGTCAAAGCACAGAGAAGATAATATATCTCTAAAGGCTTTTCCAGACATGAGCAGTTACTGAAAAGGGTTGAGCTTCTTGCCTTTTGCAATGAAAAGTGCATGTTAGAGTTGCATTCATGTTAACCATTGATCCATTTCGTTAGTTTTCCTTTTTAATATGTTTTTTTTTATTAATTTAGAGAGAGGAAGGGAGAGGGAGAGATAGAAACATCAATGATGAGAGAGAATCATTGATTAGCTGCCTCCTGCACATTGATTTGCCAATCCCCCTACTGGGGATCGAGCCCACAACCCAAGCATGTGCCCTGACCAGGAATCGAACTGTGACCTTTTGGTTTATGGGTCGATTCTCAATCACTGAGCCACACCGCCCAGGCCACCTGATTAATTTTAATGCCTGACTTGTTCAGTTGCTGTTTATATGGTAATGCAGTGCTTAAAAGGGCTGTCCTGTGGAAGTGATGCCTTGGGCTTTACAGCAACCCTCACTTGCATCCTGGGGCAGCCAGATGGCCCTTCTGATCCTGACTGGGCTGCGTGCATCAGCTGTTCCCTGATGTTGCTGTTGCCAACCAACAGTTCCACGTCGGCAGAGCTTTCACCTTAGTGTGGAGCAGATTTGTAGAATTGACTTTTATTATATTTTCCCTAGTTGTCTTATAAAAAACAAGGGGAAAAATGGAAGAGTAGACATGATGTTAGTGATAGGAAACGCCGGCCTCAAACGGTATGGTTGCAACTAAGATAGGCATCATTACACGTGGCAAGGGGGTAAATCTCACCTGTCGCTCACAGGCTTGTTGGACTGTAGCTGATGGCTTCCATGTTCAACGCCAATGCAGAAATGCTACAAAATTAGGTCTAAAACACAAGGTGAATGAGTGACTTTATTGTATGGAAGTCCTTGTTTTGGATTTTTGGTCATTGGAAAAGTGACTTTTTTGTCTGAGTGTGTGTGTGTGTCTGTGTGTGTGTGTGTGTCCACGCACACACCCCATTAGAAGCAATCTTGATCTTTATGCACAGACATCTTATCTCACTGGGGCAAATGTCCAGGACTTGAAGGAGGATTACTGAGGTGCTTCATCTGTGAGGAGGAGCCCTGTCAGGCTCCCCTTGACCTATAGCAGCTCTGAGATGGTAAGCAAAACATTTTAAAGTCAGTCTTTGTCCAAGAAGGGTCCGTGGGACCGTGCGCAGAAAACTAACTCAGCGTGGCCCACAAGGCCCTGCATGGAGTGCTCCTCTCTCGCCTGCCGTCTTGTCTTCACTCATCAGGATCTGAATTTGTCTCCCTTCTGGAAGGTCAGCTCCATGAGGGACACTGGGCTTTCCTGGTCAGTGCTGAATCTCGGTGCCTAGAGCAGTGCCTGCACATAGTAGGTACTCAGTAAGCACCTTGCGTTGGGTTGTGTGTGAATGAATGGGAGGTTATAGGACAGTGATGGCGAACCTATGACACGCGTGTCAGAGGTGACACGCGAACTCATTTTTTTGGTTGATTTTTCTTTATTAAATGGCATTTAAATATATAAAATAAATATCAAAAATATAAGTCTTTGTTTTACTATGGTTGCAAATATCAAAAAATTTCTATATGTGACATGGCACCAGAGTTAAGTTAGGGTTTTTCAAAATGCTGACACGCCGAGCTCAAAAGGTTTGCCATCACTGTTATAGGAAGTACAGATGGAGCCCCTTCTGACACAGCCCGTCCAGAGGCGGGAACTTCCTAGTTATTAGTCGTCATCCATGACTCTCAGCCCTCTGACCCTACCTGGCCCCAGCCTGAACTTCCATGGAGCCTAGATTTCTGAGAAAAGGCCCCTTCCTTCCCCCGTGGTCGGATGTGGCCTTGGATTTGAGCTTTTGCAATTGAAGTCAAGGTCACGAGGACCTATGGCTTCATCCCTTCATCCACTTCCCAAGGCAGAATATCCCAGGCATAATACCCAGCTAGAAAACACAACTCACTGTCCGTTATAGCCATCACTCACACGTAGTTATTGGGCTTGGAGGTTTGGGTGATCAACACAGAGCAGACATTCAGTGGGGACATATAAAGTCAATAAAAGACTAAATGGGCACAATGATTTCAGGTGGTGAAAAACGCCTTAAAGAAAATAAACCAAGGTGATCTGATAAAGTAATGGACAGAAAAGGGCTTCTCTGGAGACCTGAGTGATGGGAAAGGAGCAAGTAGAGGGAACAGCAAATGCAAAGGCCTCAGGCAGGAGCGGATTCAGCAGAGTAGAGTATCCATAACAAGGTCAGTGTCATTCGAGCAGAGTACACAAGGAGAGAGAATGGCCAGGAATGAGGTCTCGAGCAAGCAGAGTCAGCCTTGTAAGAACTCAGAAGTGCATTCTAATTGCAAAGGAAGCCACCGGTCTATTTAAAGCAGGAGATGACATGATCTGATTTGTGTTTGTGAGCGCTTACTCAGGCTGCTATGCAACCAGAGGGCTGTGGGCGGGGAAGAGCAGAAGCAGGACGGGGATCAGGAGGCGTGCAGGTGCCTTCCTTGTCCATTGTGGTGGTCCCAGGCTGTGCTCAGTGGACACGGAGAAGAACCGTTTGCTCTCTCTTTTGAAAAAAAATAAAACGTTTGGTGTTTGAGCTGGTCAGGAGATGCGAGCAGAAACAATAGTAAAGGA